CCCCACCCGCCCATCCATGTAATCAAAGAGCATTGCCTTTGGGCTGGGTTGTGCTGTGCTCCTCTTTGATGCTGGAACTGAGGCTGGCCTTCCCAAGGGGAAGGGGCGTGCTTTCTAATGAAGCCCCCCTGCGATTTGAGACTGGGAAGGCCTAGGGTCAGGGCAGGAGCTTTCGGCTCCCAGTGGTCATTTGAGTGTGGGGCCAGGGCAGCCCGTGTCCACGCCCCACGCTGTGCAGTGGTTTATTTCAGCTACTTATACAGACAGAGACGGTCGCTTCCCCCAGGACTTTTAGGGGGCTTCCACCAACAGGCACACTACTGCATATGGTGGTATGAGGGGGCTTCAAAAATGTTGTGGAAAAATTCCATTATCTTTTAGTTCTATTTTTCTCATTAACTTTAAGAAGCCCTCTGTGGTAGCTATAAAATCTGGTGTCAACTTGAGAATATTAAGAGTTAAGTTTAGCCTGTCAATCAGGTCTCAGGTTGATGACCACACTTGGAGGCACAATGGAGATAAACAACTCACTGGAGGTCACACACACCCTCTCCCTGCGAGACATTCCTGTTGACAAGTCACATGGAGACACACTGATGAAGCCAGAGCCCTGGAGCTGGAGGACCGATATGGAGACCCACGCCAGCACTGAGATGCTTCCACTACCATTGGATCTACAAGACTTTCCACACACTGGCCTGGGATATTCCTGCATTCTGCATTGCTGTGTGTGTTGCAGGAGTCTGAAGAGGAATTTACAGACTGCTATTAGACATGTGGGCTCATATCAGACTTATGGAGGTGGACTGGACTGGGGTGTTTTCTTAATGTACAATTGCTCTTTGATATAAAGTTCACTCTTACACACGTATGAGTGCCTTGGGATTTGTTTCTCTAGTCAATCCTGACTAACACACCCTCCTAGAGGCTGCCACTGCATAAAGTTGAGTGGGGTGCGTGCCTGGTGTGGGCCTTGCCTGTCTAGGGAGTGGCCACCTCCTCAGAACCCCAAGAAGGTGCTGTGGACCACCCGTGGTCATTTCTTCGCTAATTTGCAAAAGAAAAAAAAGCCTCTCGGCCTCCCGGTGATGTGATGAGCTCCCAGCATGGGAACAAGAAGAGGAGACTGTCTCTGTGGGTGCACCCAGGGTATGTCCTAGGACCCACACTCTGGGGTCCAGTGTCCATGCACAGGTCCCCAGTACCCATATTCTGGGCCCAAGTGTCCATGCACAGGTCCCCATCTTGACACTGGGCCCCAGTATCCACACTCTGGTCTCCAGACATTGGATTCAGTCCGGAGTGTGGAAATTAAACCTGAGCAGCCTCTGAGGGCAGCTGTGGGGGTTGGGAGAGGCCATCTCCCCACCCCTTACTCTCCTCCTCGGCTGATGGGGTCGAGCAGGTGGGCCGGTTGATGGCTCTCCATGCAGAGAACAGGTTGGCCCATCCTTGGGGCGGTATCATTGCACAGCTGTCTGCCCGAGCCAGCAAGTGTGACCTCCTGAGTACCCTCCACTGGGTCACCAGGTCTCACGCAGTGGACACCCGAGGCCATGTGGAGTTGTGGTGGGCACAGAATGAGATGCACCACCCTGTTCATTGCTTTCAGCATGGAAGAGCCAGCAATGGATTTGTATCTTCAGCTAATAACACTGCACTGAACACTGAGCAGGCAGAGCTACGTGATCCAGGAGACACTGCAGCATGGTTCCTGTGCCCATCTGGTCCGCAGGAGAGGAAGACAGTATTCAACCATGTGCTGGTCCATTTGCTCATGAACTCATTGCATAAACAGTGAGTCTGGCACCTGGCATCTGACAGGCCATGAGCAACATACCAGGGATGCGACACCTGCATAAGACCCAGAAGGGAGCCGTGCCTGCGGCCATTGAGCAGTGGCAGGACAGACACTGTGCAGGGATCCCAGTCAGAGAAGTTCTCAGGACCTGAGTGGACCCCAAACATAGTATCCACTGCTGTCAAGTTGACCCCATGCATAGTGACCCTATAGAACAGAGTGGAACTGTCCCAGAGAGTTTCCATGACTGCCATCTTTGCAGAAGCAGACAACTGCATCTTGTTCCAGATGATCGGCTGGTGGGCTTGAAATGCTGACCTCAAAGTTAGCAGCCCACTGTCTTTTCCTAAAGACCCCAACCCCCAAATCCACTGCCACCTAGTCAATTCCAACTCAGAGCGACCCTCTA